AATTTTAGAGTAAAAGGTTATAATATTATACGATTAGATTCAGGTAATGATCATAATGGAGTAGCAATACATCTACATAACAAAATTGGATTTCGTGTTATCAATACATTCTCTGATGACTCATTACAAAATATAGCTGTACAAATACAATACAATGACAAATTATTAACTTTAGTTAGTGTTTACTGTCCCCCTAATTCATCAATTAATTATAATAAATCCAAATTAGATAATTTAATCCAAAGTTTGCCACAGCCAGTCTTTATAGCTGGTGATTTCAATGCCCATCACACGTTATGGGGATGTACTGAATTAGATTCACGAGGTAGGGACGTTCTTGCAAGTATAGATGACAACAATCTTCTAATCTTGAATGATGGTCAGATGACTACAGTAGGATCTCATAGATGGAGGCAGAATGCATTAGACTTGATACTTGTTTCATCTTCACTGGCTCTGTCTTGTGAGTGGCAAGTATGTGATGATGATTCTCTAGGCACCTATCATTTTCCTGTAAAGACAAAATTACAGTTAATAGTCAAAATTTTCAAGAAACAGCTGTATCAAATAATATAAACTTAAAATTGGTAAATTGGTCAAAATATACAAATTTAATAGATAATTTAATTAAAAATTATAGTTTTGATTATAGTAATCATTTACAATGTTATACAGACTTAATAGAACTAGTTAAACAAGCCATGCATGAATCCACAGCATCCAATCAGTCTTCTAATCGAAATGTTTACATCAACTTGCAATCTTTTAAAAGAATTAAAAAGAAAATACTCTACCTTGGTGGAATTCAAAATGCAAAGAGGCAGTATTAAATTGTAAAAATGCATATTTAGTATTTAAGAATGATCGCACAGAACGAAATTATATTAGTTTTAAAAGACTACAAGCTGTTAAAAAAATTACTTTGAAGACTGAAAGACATCTTAGCTGGAAAAAACTATGTGAAACTTTTAATAGATCTACTCCATTGACTAGAGTATGGAACTACATTAAAAAGTTTAACAAAACTTTTGTTCATAATAACACATCTGTCATAGATTCTAATTGGGCTAATGAATTTTTGAAAAAATATACTCCAGAAACAAATGAATCACCTCTAACCCCTAACTCCTCAAATGATAATCATTGTGATTATCTTACCAAACCTTTTACCTTGACCGAATTCAACTCAGCTGTTAACTCTAGAAAAGACTACTTGTGGTTTAGATTCTGTTTCATATAAAGCTTTAAAAAATATGAATACTGTGTGTAGAGAACTAGTTTTGAAAATATATAATATGTTATGGTTTCATTCACTTATTCCTAACGATTGGAAAGAAGATTGTTTGATACCCATTTTAAAGCCTGGAAAAAAACCTCACATTGCAGAATCTTACAGACCCATAGCATGGTACGACTTTCCATTGACTCCCATCGAGTTGGGGGTTGATACGTATTTTTACAGAAGCGTTACACTATTATAAGCACACACACAAAGTTTCAATATGCGGAAGCGCGTAATTTTTGAGAAAAAAGTTATTGAAAATCAATTATTCTTGCATTGTATGTCTAATCCTACAATAAAACTGACGCCATTTTTTTATTGTTATTGTCAGTAGGGATGTCGATTCTTTCCGAAAAAGATCGATTTTTTTAAATAGATTCGAATTGTAAGCTGATGTAATTCCCAAAAAATAAATTTCTAAAATATCTATATTTTTTTCATGCATTTATAATGTAAATATAAATCCATTTTATGAGAAAAAAATCCCCTTCATCATAAAATATAGGGGAATTGATTCAGAAGGATTTCTGTATCTATTTTGAGACTGCTACGTCTCCGGCGCTGCGGGAAGAGCAGCCTCTACGCCTTAGCGTAACAAATCGCAGGCATCCCTCCTCGCCCCCGCAGCCTCTGCGACCAGCCTCAGCCGCTCCGGCTCGTCGGATGCCTACGATTTGTTACAGCAGGCGGAGGCTGCTCCCCTACGCGCCTCCGGCTCTTTAAAACCACTCTAGGGGTAGAACAGACTCGTACCAGGTGGAGTCGGGGTCAATCAATTCGGTTCTTTGACATAAGTTGAACCTAACCTATTTAATTTGTTATCTGCCCTAATTGGTACTGTGAAAATAAAACAAAATTCAATAAGAGATCATTTATGTATCTTTCTTGTTTTTCGTAAAATGGAGTTATATTTACATTATAAATGCAAACATAAAAAAATATAGATATTTTTGAAATCGATTTTTATGAATCGATACATCAGCTTACGATTTGAATCGATTTAAAAATCGACATCCCTACTGACGAAAATGACATTACAAAATGGCGTCAGTTTTATGGTAGGATTAGATATAAATAATGCAAGAATAATTGATTTTCAATAACTTTTTTCTGAAATTTACGCGTTTCCGCATGTTGTAACTTTGTGTGTGTGCTTATAATAGTGTAACTTTTCTGCAAAAATACGTATCAACCCCCAACTCGACGGGAGTCAATGGAAAGCTAAGCCAAATTGTCTTTTACCATCAAATCAGTTTGGATTCAGACGCCGTAAGTCATCTAGAGAAAGTATTGCATTTCTACATTTAGACATTTTTAAAGCTATGGAAAATGAAATAATTAGTATATTCTTTGACATTGTTGGTGCATCTAATAACGTCAATCTTCATGTACTTGCCGCAGAGCTGAGGTCTTTGGCCATTCCTGAAAAAATTGTAAAATGGATATTTAACTTTTTACATGAAAGAAGAGTTTTTGCTAAAGTTAATAATAATAATAATACAATTATTGGTCCTAGGCTCAGTTATAAAGGTGTTTGTCAAGGAGGAATATTAAGTCCTCTTATCTTTATTTTATATATATTTAAATTAAACAATATTTTAGGATCAAATGTTACTAATTTACAATATGCAGATGATTTGGTCACATACGCCTCAGGAGCAAATTTCAAAAACTTGGTAACCATTTTAAATGAGGCTTTAAAGAAATTGCACATTTACTTTTCATACTTAAATTTAGATATTAGTACTGAGAAAAGTAAAGTTGTAATATTTAATAAAATTCGTCCATTTAACACTAGAATAATTTATAATAATACATTTTTACCAGTAGAAAGTTGTGCAAAATTCTTAGGTGTAATTTTTACAAAAAATTTATCTTGGACCGAATAGGTGAATTCTATTACAGACAGAGCTTCTAAGGCCTTTAATGTATTAAAAGCTTTGGCTAGTACTAAGTGGGGAGCTGATCCAGAAATATTATTAATGTTATATAAGTCTTTGGTGAGGAGCCATTTTGAGTATGGCTTCCTTTGTTTTGCATCAAATAAAAAACTAGTAAACAAATTAGATAATATACAAAATTAGAATTTAAGACTTATTACCGACTCTATGAGAACAACTCCTATTGTTTCTTTACAGGCTGAATGTCTTACTCCTCCTATCTTACTTAGGTTTAAATATCTGAAATTTAAGTTTTTATTAAATATCAATTCTTTGTCACATCATCCTCTTTTTCAAAAAGTATTATTTTACTATAATAGTATGTCTCCTATATCTAACTCAGCTCCATATATACTCCATGACTTTCATGAAGTGATACGATATGATGAACAATATAATATTCATAAAAGCACACATACTTGGCCTTGTTATAAGGGGAATTTTGAAAGTAAATTCAGTGATATACACATAAATATTGATAAAAATTTAAAAGAAAAGAAGAGGTTTATGAACTTATATCTACATATGATGAATATCGACAAATTTACACAGATGGTTCAAAAGTTGAAAATAAAATAGCCTGTGCATTTTACATACCTCATCTGAAAACTGGACGTGGCCTTTCCATTCCTGCATCAGCAAGCATATACACTGCAGAATGTTATAACTTTAATTGCTCTTAAATATATAGAAGAACACCCACATGTATCTAATAAATGGTTACTGATCTCTGATAGCATAAGTGTCTTGAAGGCACTGAAGGCAAGAGCTTTAGATGCTAAAACGTCTTTCATCATATATGAAATTAAAAGTTTGTGGTGGAAATTGAAAGAAAATAATTTGGAAGTAAATTATGGACTCCGTCACATATTGGGGTTCAAGGAAATGAAAGAGTAGACCATTTAGCTAAAAGTATAGTTACAGCTGATATTGAAAGTATAACCGATGTTGCAATACCACATACAGATTTATATTCCATTTTAAAGAAACAGTTAAAAGAAGAATGGAAAATGCAATGGAATGCTGTTTTAGAGGCAGGAAAAGGTCGTTGGTATGCATCAATTAATTCAGAATTAAGTATTCCTTGGTTTTCTCGCAACGAGAGATATCATAGCAGAAAATTTTATACAATAATGTGCAGACTTAGATTTGGCCACTATCGACTGAACGCTCATCTTTCCAGGATGAGAATAGTAGCATCTGCAACATGCAATTTCTGCGATACAGAAGCAGATCAGACTGTAGAACATATAATATTTAACTGCCCAGCGTACGCCATTGAAAGATTACTACTCATTGAAAAACTTATACAAGTTTATGAAAACTCAGAAAGCGTCTCTTGTGCCCTGCAAGATGTTCTTAGGAATACTAAGACATATTTAGCACTTTGCAATTTTATCCATAATACTGTAAAAGAAATATGAAATATGGTATCTCTGTTTTTGGAAGATATTGGATTGACAAATCTACACGCATTGAAACCTACAAAGAATATAATATAAAGAAGACGTGGCTTTAGCCTTTACGGGTTTTTGAAAATATGAAGAATTATAGAAAATAAGACGACTTCGGCCTTTATGGATTTTGAAGAGATGGAAAAAAGAAAAATACGACTTGGTTCCGGCCTTTACACTTTAAAATTCTATATATTCAAAAATAAAAAAGACAAGGCTGTATGGCTTAGTTTCTTTGCCTGCTCTCTCTAGCAAATAGTAAAAACAACTGTGGCACAGAGTACTTTTTTATTGGTCTGTGTAGAACTGTTACTATACTCTTTGGGTCTGTGTCTGTGGTATTTTAAGTGTGAATAGGTATTGTAAAGACTGTTGTAGTACCAAATATTTTGGTGTTTTAAATAGTAGTAATCAAAATGGATTTTCAAAACCGGCCCGGTGGTAAAACCGGCGGTGGTGGCGTAGCCTCATGGTCGGAGAGCAACAGAGATCGTCGTGAAAGGCTTCGCCAACTTGCATTGGAAACTATTGATTTGAATAAAGATCCATATTTTATGAAAAACCACTTAGGTATTACTTACACTGATTTATTTAGATTTTCAATCAATATCGTTGTTACATCAATTTATATAAAAACAGTTTGTATGAATGACTTTCAGGATCATATGAATGCAAACTTTGTCTAACTCTTCACAACAATGAGGGCAGTTATTTAGCTCATACACAGGGAAAGAAACATCAAGCTAACTTAGCTCGACGAGCAGCTAAGGAAGCTAAAGAAGCACCTCAACAATTGGCTCCAGAAAAGCCAAGGATTGAGCCTAAGAAGTTTGTAAAAATTGGACGGCCTGGTTACAGAGTTACAAAGCAAAAAGATCCTGAAAATGGCCAGCAGAGCTTGCTTTTTCAAGTGGACTACCCAGGTTCATATTACTCTTGTTTTATTATTTAAACTACATTTCTATGGCAGAATTTTTATTCAACATTTATGGCTCTAATTTTTTTTTAATCTACCAATTTAATCAAATTCATTCAAAAATTTTAATGGGATAGAGCCACACTTCAAGTATATTGTGATTGTAGTTTGAATGGTCAGCTCGACCAAGGTAGGACCACACTCACAGAATACCAGCGTGCAATATGTTTCATATGATGAGTGTAGAGAATTGGAGACCTTTTACTGGAAATGAGTCATTCCATCTTAAACACATCTGAATTTTGATTCTTAATCGATGATAGATGTAGATGTCTATGGCCCACAGCATCCAATTACCATCGGGTAAACTGTGTGCTCATTTTTATTTTTATTTGTAATTCAAAAACAGTGGGGAATCACTTATTATTTCCCTAGTTTTGGAAGTCTATGACAGGTTTTTGTAAGCAAATACATTTGAGCAAGTTTCCACAAAATATATCTTCTGGTCTGATTGACTGGGTGAAGAGTTTTATGAGTAAACTCTCTCACTTAGTCGTAGTCAATGGCGATCATCTGACCCTATGACGACTGATGCTGGAATTCCTCAGGTGTCCATTCCCTTTACAACTCTTTCCCTGCTGCATATTAATTTTCTTATGCCTGGTATCTATGGGTATGCAGTTGACAGTACAGTTGTGAAGAAAAACCAGCTAAAGCTAAAGGATTAATTTAGCTTAAGCTTAAACTTTTGCTGACCTAACACTGGAAATGATGCTTAAGATCCACAAAACATTTATCGATGGTCAATCTTAGAATAAGTATTCCACTTCTGGAACCCCTACTTTAAAAGTCATTGAAGTTTTGGGAAAAGAACAGCTTAGCTTCGCTAAGATACCACGGCTATTTAAGCGGCAGTCTTATGAAGAGATTTAAGACTTACATTTAAAAACCGTGGGGATCGAGGAGATCTAATTGAGACTTTTAACGTCTTAAGTGGTCATTACAACATTGAGGAGTTTGACAAATTGTTTATTGGTAATGAAAAAACTCATCTCAGGAGCCACCTTCTTAAGCTATGTACCAGCTTTTCAAACAACCATAACAAGCACTTGATTTGTACCCGTGAAGTCACAGAGTGGAAGCAGCTGCTAGAGAACATAGTCTCAACCAAAAATGTAAACCTATTCAAAAATAAATTAGATAATCATTTTCAGAACTGCAAAAAGAGTAACTAGTGGGCACAAACAGGATTCAGGCAATATCAGTTGCCTCAACTGCCTGCCTGGTAATATATAATAATAATAAAATTCTCTGGTCAGTCGAGATTCAATAAAGTCTGAAAAAGAAGCTATAGTTAAGTGTATGAATCTCACTGCAAGCAGTCTCTGTGTGAGGCAATTCCAGTATTGTGAGATTCAGCGCCTCCAAAACACAAGATGTCTCTTCATCGTTAAAAGGGACTCTCTTACCCTGGCTCCTACTTCCCGGGTTGTATCCTTGGGGTTCACAGACTTTCAGTTATTAGGGATTAAGAATTCTCCGAACCTTAACTTTGGGCGGTTCATTATATCCAGAACCGAAGTAGCTGCGAGGAACTAGTTGCCTTGCAAGGGTGCAGCGGTACTTCTGACGCTAGGGCAGCTTCTTATCTATACTAATATAGTAAAGTTTTTGTGATTTATCATGCAATCAGTCGATGGACTATGAGCAGATTGGTTGTAGGACAGATTGGCATACAGAGAAAACTTCCCCAGCGGGAAGCACTCCGTAAGTCTCAGCTATACATTGTCAAGTATATCCCTTCTCTTTAGACGACGAATCGCTTGTGGCATTGTCAACTGCCATGCTAATTGATTTGGATGGTTGCCAAGTCTTATTTTGTAGTTGCAGCTGTAGTGCCTAATTTCTTCCTTAACTGAGTTCATTTTAAGGTGTTCATGGATTTCAGATATTCTTATGAACCATGGTGAGTTTGAAAGTTGTTTAAGTATGTAGTTTTGGGTTCTTTGAATGATTTCGATGTTGGAGTCACATGCTGATCCCCAAAGTTGTATGCCATATGTCCATATCGGTTTTATAATGGTGTTATATAGCAGGAGCTTATTGTCGAAGGAAAGTCTGGAATTCCTTGCGAGCATCCAATACAGTCCTTTGTATCTATGGTAGATCTCATCACTTTTTTATAAAGTGGAAAAGTGTTTTTGTTTGTTTAAATGCACTAATCTCTGGAACTACCAGTCCAATTTGAAAAATTCTTTTTGTATATAATAGCCAGATTCATGAGGAATAGTATAGACTATCTAGCATTAGCCTATAACTCTCAGCAAGCCTTAAATATTGATTTTTGTTAAACAAGTTGTAAAAAAGGTGCTCTCTAACTGCTTTATTTGCGTGCGCTGGTGTATTATTTAGCATTACATAAATACAATGTCCTACAAAACTTCTAAAAAAAGTCCATTATACCATATGCCTATTGCTTATACATAAGCCACAATAAGGTATTTTGTGACATAAAATTATTGAAAATTAAAAAGTGATTTATGTGCTAGTTAGTTAATGACTCCACGTCTAAGCGCGTACTTTGCGTGTGGGTAGGAATAATGTAATTATTCGAGCCATGAGATCTCCCCGAAGAAGTTCAACAGTCCTTTGATGTTGCAAGTAACTTCGGGGAGTAATCCCAGTGCACTGAGATGTTTAGCCCTCCGGATGACCTGCAGCAACCTCCGGACATGTCAGCAACATGTGGGCCGCCGTTTCTTCCTCCCCCATACATGCCCTGCACAGGGGACTATCCGTAATATCTATGGTAAATAAATGTTTGTTAAAGTTGCCATTCCTGTGATATCACTTGTTACTATCCTGATCTGCGGCTTTATCAGTCTCATTAGAACCTTGGTGAAAAGACTGTAAACAGCTTCCCTAGCTTGTCTACAGACTACTAGATTTTTCCAAGCAATTTGTTAAAGCTGAGTGTGTTGATTAGTGAAGTGGCTACATACCAGTGAATAAATGTTAACAAAGGGGATTGGTAGGATTGGTCTCAGCCCTATAGTGGCCAGTTAATCTGCTGCATCATTGCATCTGGATCCACTGTGTCCTTTTATACATTGCAGAGTCACATTGTTGTGTTTACATATCTCATTTAATTGTCGAATTAGTTATTTTTCACTTAGCATTGTTTTTACACTATCAAAACATCCAGGGCAAGTGTGACATAAATCCACTTATAGGCACATCACTATATCGGCTAAAAACTGTCAAAAATCCATTGTTACACAAAAATAGACGTTCAAATTGTTCAAATAGATCATAAAATATATTGACATTAGTATCATCTCATCAATTTTCTCTAAAAGTACATATAGTAATAAAGTAACTACAAAAAGAAGTGTACTGTCACACTTGCCTCATTGATGGGGTAAGTGTGACAGTCTTCCACCTTAATTAGTTTTAATTACCTCAAATTATAAAATGCTACTTATGGATACTAAAATGCTTGATCAAACAAACAACCACTTAGTAATTGATATTTTGAAACGGAATTATCTATGTTAAACCTTTACAGAGTAGAAATATTTAAATGTTCATTTTAGTTTTAATTAATTTATGTCACACTTGCCTCGGGTGACTCTACGCCTTTTGAAGGATTTTTGAATACTTCATCGCTTAGGGGAAAATAGGTAATAAAAACTATTATAAAATAGTTTTCATTACCTATTTTTTACGTGGTAGAGCCATGCTGCAGCTATATTATGGTTGTAGCACGAATGGGTCGGCTCGGCCGGGGAGGGACCACGCTCTCACAGAAAACCAGCGTAAAATAGCAGCTTGTCGCTGCTGTGTTTCGTGTGGTGAGTGTAGAGAACCGGAGACCCTTTTTACTGGCAGGGAGGCATTCCATCTTAGTCCTCACAGGTGACAACGCATCTGCATCTTGAGTCTTTATTGAGGATAGATGTAGATGTTTATGGGTCACAGTAACCACTTGCCATCAGGTGGACTGTGTGCTCGTTTGTCACCCGATCCTATAAAAAAAAATAGTATTAATGATAAAAATAAATCATCTCTGTAAACGCGTTAATCCCGGTCAGCCTTTCGGGTCATCTGAGGTGACTGGGACTCCGTGACGGACCACTCCGGGCTCAAATTCAGAAGGTGGTGCTCCTTGATACCGCCCGCATTGTCCGCCGGTTTCTTTCCCTTTTCCCCTAACCCTCGGCCGTTTGGTCTCCCCTGCCGAGGGCTTCCATCTGGTTGGGACTTTATTTATTTATGTTAGTATGTTAAATATACATTTATATGTATTTATTATTTCCTTTAATATATTTATTCAGCCCAACCAGATGAGAATACTTTATAATTAATACCCCAAAATAATAATGTAATAGTAGTCAATATAATATTTTTCATTGTACAACAATAGTCATTGAAACAAAAAGCAATGAAATAAATAAATAAGGTACAATAGAAGGTCTTATCGCTCTGGAAGCAATTTCTGCCAAACAACCTTATTACATAAGAATTATTTACATCAATTGGTTAGGAGGAAGGTGTTCACAAATTATAATACTAAGTTAAAAAATAAAATAAAAACAAGATTATGACATCTGAGGAAAGTAGGATAGATACAAGTAAGAACGGGAAGTATGATGGAAAATATTAGAGCTCCAAGTAATAAGCTTTGAGTAGATTTTTGAAGAAAAAAAGCTTGAGGTAGGCGTAGTATATTATTTAGCGGCAAGGAGATCCATAACGGTAGCTGTAAATTATATCGATTTATGGATGAAGGATAATGTATGTACTGGAGTATGAAGAAAGATTGTTAAAGCCGCTTAGTCTTACTTAAGATCTGTGATCATTATCATCCCGAAATATGGGAAATTTTCCACATCATAGCTTGAGCTCTTTGTATTATGCGGTCTCATAATCAGCATGACGGCCTGGACCTTACAATTTGAACACTGGTAACACCGTGGGGCAAAAAGCTAGTTAAGTATACAGAAGTATATCTCAGTACTGTTCTGCAACATTTAGTTAAAATAATTTCAGTAATAAAAAATTTGTCAACAATTTAATTTCATGCAAGCTGGTAGGAATATTAGGATGATGAAAAATATATCTTATCAAGTTTAAAAATAGCTTTGAAATTTTAAAAAATGTTTATTAATTATTTCAACATGGTTATTTTGATTTTTTGTATTAACTTACCAATATTTACTTCAATTTTAGAAATTGCTGAAGGAGTACAACCAAGACATCGCTTCATGTCTGCTTATGAACAAAAGATAGAGCCACCAGACCGTAGGTGGCAATACTTACTTTTTGCTGCTGAGCCATATGAAACTATAGCTTTTAAGGTGCCAAGCCGAGAAGTTGAAAAGCATGATTCAAAATTCTGGACTCACTGGAATAAGGATACAAAACAATTCTTTTTGCAATTTGCATTTAAAATTGAGCCTCTACGAATGCCACCTCCTCCTCCTAAAATGTGGGAAAATCATGGCATTAGATTACCACCTCCTCCTGGCGCTCAACTCATGGGTGTACCACCTCCTCCACCTCTATTACCTGTACCACCTCCTCCACCATCCATGTAAATAAATGATTTATTATACATTATTGATAATAAATAACAAAAAGTATGCAGTTATATTCTTTTTTCAAAAACTTTAATTTAACATCTAGTTTCTAAAAAATTATAGCTAGCTGGGATTTGTGCCCTATATATATATATATATTGCTTGGTCTATGGGTCGAGCTCGAGCGACTGATCCGAGTTGTCACCAAGCAATACAGTTATAATGTATCTATAGGCTGTTGCAAGCCGGAAATGGGTGATATGCCAAGTCATGGTAGTTATCAGAAAAATAAAATAAAATATTAAGTTACGTATTTTTTTAAAATAATTAGCATTTTAAAAAAAGAAAGAAAATCTACAACCTGTGATAGTCTTTTAACTCCCATTACTTATTACAAATCTTTATTTATTTTTTTATGTAATCCTGAATAATACTTCTGTAAGTTGTTGCCTAAAAAAATTTAAAGCCAACTGCTCCAGTCTGATACATTCTCGTCAGTGGTCTGGTACAATCTCTTGGCCAGTCCGTTCACCTGACTTTAGATAGATTATTTTTACTGGGGAGCGATGAAAGAAAAAGTTTACTCAAAGTCAATCGAAAACGTAGCTAAACTACGGCAAAGAATACCGGAAGCAGTTGAATTTGTTAATAACGGGAGATTTGCCCGCCTGATAACTGGATATTTTTTTAAGAAAATGTCGAGCTCGTGTTGAATATTTATTGTAATATATCTTAGAATCCAATAATCGATGTTTAATTTAAAACTGTTCTATAAAAGTAAACCAATCCTAAAGTAAAAGCAAAAAAAAACGGATAGTTGTAGTAGATGTTCTTGGATCTTAAGATAAAACAAAGATTGTGTAATGTCCTTGTCACACCTATGCCGGTAGTTGTTGAGAGCACTAAGCTCGAAGTTGTTGGCGAGTAGTTTACCTGGGACAAATAGTCCGACTAGGTAAGTCCAACTTTGACCGAGAGTTCAATCGACGGATTGAACTCGGCTGGGCAGCGTTTGGGAAATTACGACACATCTTCTCGTCAGGTATATCTCAAAACTTGAAGACGAGAGTGTAACCAGTGGGTGTTGCCAGTGCTAACTTATGGATCTAGCCGTATAAGGAAGCTCAAGATCGCTCAGCGAACTATGGAGAGAGGCCTTGTATACATAGACGAAGTGTAGGGCGATTCCCCACTAGATGGAGTGACGACCTGGTGGAGACGTGCAGGAATTCGATGGATGCAGGTGGCTCGGCACCATGCTTTGTGGCATACTTTGGGGGAGGTTACAGAGGGGTGGGTACCTTGTTCAGCAGTGGACTTGTGAAGGGCTGTAATGACGATGATGATGATGAAGGTAAATTTTAATATATAGGCAAAAAGGTTCAGAAATCAGGCAACAGTTTACGGTATGTGTGTGAGTTTTGTAGTGTCATCTGATTGTTCTTTTTTTGTGCGCATATTTCCCTTGTTAAAAATGAGAGTTCTGTATCGGGGAAAGACGCTATGACTATTCCCCTCCGCTCCGCCGGTAGCCAGTGTTGCTCTATCACTGGAACATTACGCACATTATTTTTTTAAATGTGGCAGCTGATATGCATCATTTAAAATAGCTTTTCTTATTGGTTAAATTATTCTTAATCAATGATAGGTATACATATATGTCTATGAGGAAGACTGTATGTCTGTCGGTGGGTAGGTTTTCGAATAGAGAGTTCTACGTGCAGTTTAACCTAGTTATTGAAGAAATAGTTTTTACATCTTCAATAACCTTTTGATTATATCCAGTTATGGCTACGGATCGACCAACAAATAGCTTGATGATCCGGCAACCGATGTGAACAGCTGTGTCTCGCCAGCAACGCAAAGTCAGGAATTTGCATTTAGAAAAATCCAAAATTAGGGGCTTTTTAGGTGCTAATTAGGTGTCAAGTTTAAAAATTAGTTGCTCTAAAATTTTCACCGCAACGAACTGTTGCAATTTGCGTTGCTGGCAAAATAGCAACGCAATGAAGTTATTAGATATACGATACATATAATTGCAAGGAATTAAGTGCTGAAAGATTATTGAGGTCGAATGTAGGTGACGGTAATATTCTGGGAATTATCGGGTCCAGGACCACCATCACCTTACTATAAGTTATGAACGGCATTTTTTGTTCTTTATCAGTTATATATTATAGATAAGGTCGAATCTGTACTAAAACTGAAACAGAAAGCCTGACTACACGTAGTCGTGTCTGCCCTACCACTAGAGTGTTTTTGTAAAGCCGTAGGCACGGAGGGAGAGCAGCCCACGCCCGCTGTGGAAAATCGCTTCTACGGCTCGCACAGGTTGCTAGCCGTAGAGCTGAAGCTGGTCGACGAGGTCGACCAATAAGCCGAAGCTGCGGAGGTGAGCATGGGTGCTTGTAATTTGCTACAATTTTACAGTGGTAGAGCCCCGCGGCAGATTTTGCTGTCGCACGGATGAGCCGGCTCGAACCGGGGTAGTACCACGACTTCATAGAATACCAGCGTGAAGTAGAGGTTTACCTCTGCGTTGCGCTTGGTGAGTGCAGGTGGCCGGAGACCCAATTAACCCCCCTCCCCCCATCAACATGGTAGCGGCATTAAATAAAAAACTACCCCAGGAGCGTGTCCCGCGTATTCTGGGGGGGGGGGGGGGGCAAAATTCTGCTCGGGGCGTTGTCCTCTCCGGTTGATACTTCATATCTCTCCTACCCGGGGTACAAATTAGAACACTCCTTTGTACCCCGGGCTGAAGTTTGCGTATACGTCAGAGAGGACATCTGTTTTCGACGCCTCGGCACTCTTGAAGGTACGGACCTGTCCATCCTATGGCTGCGCGTAGACCGCCGACACAGACCGACTCATCGACCACGTCCAAATGGCTGCAGACTCCGTGCTACAACAGCTCCCATCCGCAGAGATCGTGATACTCGGTGATTTTAACGCCCACCACGCTGAATGGCTTGGTTCTCGTTTAACCGATCATGCGGGTAGATCTGTGTATGACTTTGCCTTGGCATATGGTCTAACACAACTGGTTACATCGCCTACGCGGATCCCAGATGTGGAGGATCATGTACCTTCCCTGTTGGACCTTCTGCTGACCTCTCATCCGGACGGATATCAGGTTTCCGTCGATGCCCCTCTGGGCTCTTCGGACCATTGTCTGATCCTGAGTCCGGAGCCACTCACACTCCAATCGCAGTTGCGATCTGCAGTTTGCCGCCGTGTTTGGCTCTATAGGTCGGCCGATTGAGACGGGATGCGGTCCTTTTTTGCATCCTACCCTTGGGGGCGGTTTGCTTCACGCCGGAAGATCCCAGAGTTGTTGACGATTCTGTTACTGATGTGGTACTTCAGGGTATAGAACTTTTTATTCCATTCTCTGTGGTGCCCATCGGAGGCAGATCCCAGCTATGGTATGGTCGCTCCTGTAGAATAGCATGACGCTATAAGCAGGAGTGCTACCGGACCTGGGCTGACGCATCAACGTCTCGGGATGTAAACACCAGCGCTCTTAAAAAGAAGTATAATTCTGCCTCCAGGTCCTTCGAAAGCGTCATTCCCAAGTAGACATGCGCGCCGAGCAAGAATTCGGCGGCGGCGGCGCGCCGACCCATTGTGGTCGGCGTGGCGACGCCGCGCCGGCGCGGCCGTATTTTATTTTAATTTTTATAAACATTTATTTAAAATAAGGTAGTAGTTAAGTGAAACATAGACCTGGATAGGAATTCAAATTTAATTTCTCAAAATAAAAACAAACCAAACAAGTTCTAATTAATTATACCTTATAATTTGTGCAAAAACGAAAAAGCACATTTTTTTGTTTCTTGCACAAACTATAGGAAATTAAAATTGTGTTTTTTACACAATGTATAATTATCATGAATAAAAATAATTTTATTAACGTGTACTGGGCTTAGTCTAGATCTTTTAGCAGTCACAGTTAGTCCCACTATAGAAAAAACGCGCTCACTAGGCGTCCTAGTAGCAAATGTTCTGATCACAGAGTAGTTTTTATATACGAGGGTGGATTGAAAAGTACTCGGCCTAACACAGATCCATTCAATTCTAAAAATCAAATCTACCCACATTATTTAGTTCAGTTCAGACTAGTTCATTGTGTGAAGTTCGAAACGTGTGCGATAATTAGTTGTGATTTTATAAATTTATTAACAAAGTAATCGGACATAATTTCCGCGAATGGAGCAAATCGAGCAGCGTGCCGTCATTAAGTACCTCCATAAGAAGGGGCTATCATCAAAAGCCATCCATGATGACATGGTCAGTACATTAGGCGATTGTGCTCTGTCATATTCATCCGTCAAAAAATGGATAGCAGAATTTAAGCGTGGTAGAGAGAGTGTGAAAGATGAACCCCGCTCTGGAAGGCCTTCGACGTCAACTACTGACGAAAATATTAAAAAAGTACTTGATTTAATAATGGGAGACCGCAGATTAAAAATTAGAGAGATAGCCGAGATTATAGGCATCTCTTATGAACGAACTCAAAACATCATTGTCAAGGAGTTGGGTTTCCACAAGGTGTCTGCGAGGTGGGTTCCGCGACTGCTTTCAGTTGAACAAAAAAGGACGCGATTGACTATTTCACGCGACTGTTTGGAGTTATTTGAAGCCGATGCAGATGATTTTTTGAATACACCGGAAACAAAACAACAATCAAAACAGTGGAGAAGACCTGGTTCACCACCCCCTAAAAAGGCTAAGTCGATTTTGTTGGCAAATAAGGTGATGGCTTCAGTATTCTGGGACTCGAAAGGTGTGATTATGATTGATTATCTTGAAAGGGGTCAGAATATAAACTCTGATTACTACTGCACCTTACTACGTCGTTTACGAGAGGAAATAAAAGAAAAACGTCGAGGAATTCTCAGAAGAAAAGTCCTGTTTCATCAAGATAACGCCCGTGTTCACACGTCAGTACAGTCAATGGCTGAAATTCACAACTGTGGCTTTGAACTGTTACCGCATCCGCCGTATTCACCTGATCTGGCACCATCAGACTTCTTTCTGTT